ATTGAACGCGACAAATAAAAAATTATATATAAAATCTTTGAGAACATTAGTGCAATACTTTCATATATGCCAAAATACCAGCTTACTAAAATGTGAACAAATTAGATGTTACACAAACAAATATTGCATCCATGCAAAGCCGGGGCGGATGACTAGTTATTAATAAAACTATAGGTACAGATTATAATGTAATGAGTACTAATGTAAACAGTTTATTAAAATACCTCCAAATAGTTTAAATACCAGCGACTTTTAAACACGAATGTTTTCTATGGCAGAGCACGAATTCGAAGCGAATTTGTTCAATAAACAAGCCTTAATAGGCCGTTTTGCATATCAAAATTAAATAAGTGACTCCTCGCCTCGGAAATTGCGAAAATTTGTTGAGCAAAAATATTGAATGGACAATAATTTGATGTAATTCAATAGCGGATATTTCTATAATAATTATGGAAAAACATTTTACACATTTGAAAGGGACGAGTGGTTTCCTTCGAATAATATCATTGTTTGTACTGGCATTGTTTGTGCCGGTACCATTTTAATATTTTGAACAAAGATAACGTCACTTTTAAACTTTTACGTTATTGGCACATATGTTAAATACACTATAACGCGATGAAAAATTGCACGTAAATAGAATCATCATCATCATCATATCAGCCTTTAACTGTTCACTGCTGAACATAAGCCTCCCCGTTGGGGGGTTTTGCCAGTAGTTGCCATTCTTGGCAGGCGGGTTGACAATCGCAGTTAGCCTTTAGAGATGTTTTAACGCTGCTGCCTATCCCTCGCCTTCCTTTAGTCAATTCTTACGACACCCACGGGAAAGGAAGGGATGACCTATTCTATACCGGAACCACATGGCCGTAGGTAAATAGTATACATATGTACATACTTACTTTTTTATTGCCTAAAGACAAAAAAATTAAAGTAACTTTTTTTTATTTTATTTGTTTTTACAGTAAGACATTGAAATCGTTTAGTTACAGTTTTCTTATAAAAGTAAGATCCAAAGTTTTATTATATAAAAAATAATTTGAAATGCATTTATTATCAAAACGAAATAACAGAGACTTAGAGCAGGACAAAAAATAGAACTTATATCAAGTTACATTATGAAAAGTCGATAACATCAGTCCCTAAATTAGGTCAGACCTATTCCAAGTTCTTTACATAGTTATAAAAACGGTGATCATGTTATAATAATCACGTCAACAACAATTCACATGTGACTAGAAAACGATCTTACACAAACGATAGCGGCCACTCGCAAGCTTTCTTAATGACATGAATTAAAAAAGAAAAAAATAATAAAAACTTTTGTACCGTACTGATTGCCTTTTGTTATAACTTTAGAAAGTTCAATGGAAAGTATCAACTTGGACTAGACGGTTTAGTTAGAACAATGAAATTTATTTTTAAGTTAAATATCAACCATTTATAAATAGCAAGTCTTGATCATAATTTTTCATTATTCTTATTATTTATATCAGCCGTTAACCGTCCACTGATGAATATAGGCCTCCCCAATAAGGGGGGTTTTGTCAGTAGTTGCCACGCTTGGCAAGCGGATTGGCAACTGCAGTTAGACTTTTGGTGACGTTTTAAGAAGGACGCTGCTGCTGATCCCGTGATCATTAAATTTCCTAAGTATCTTCTTACGACACCCACGCAGTCTCTTCTGGTACCATCTTATTATCGCCGTTTTTATCTAGAGCCACCCTACAGACAGACGAAGGCGCCGCTCACGTCAGTCCTGTCGTGACCACGACATGGCGCAATCTACGTCGATACGTCGGCAATAAAGAAGCAGATATGTAGATACTATTTACTTGTAAAAGCTTTTTCATCGCGTTAAATCCCGACTATGTATTTAAAAATATGTGTAAACAACCCGAAAGTTTAAAACTAATTATTAATGTCTAATATATAAAATTCTCGTGCCGCGGTGTTTGTTACCAAACTCCTCCGAAACGGCTTAACCGATTTTTATGAAATTTTGTGTGCATATCGGGTAGGTCTGAAAATCGGCCGGCATCTATTTTTCATACCCCACAATCATAAGGATGACCCACCCCAAAAATTTTTTTTTGTTTTTTTGACAAATTTTCTTATTTTTATTTTATTATGATTTAGCATTGAAAAATACATACAAATTCAAATTTTCACGCTTTTACGATCAACCTCTGTTTTTTAATCACGATTTTTATATGCTGCAATAGGGTTGCAAGATGGTAATCGAATATATGGTTGTAGTACAAGAAATTTTCATGTATAGTTCTCGAAATAATGTATATGGTAAAACAACGTTTGCCGAGTCAGCTTTCCTATAAAAAAAATAGTGACAAGCGAGAGCTGCCAGGTGGCAAGCCTTAAGGTTTGAGAAACATTAATTAATAAGCCATTGTTTTCTCATTGTGATTATTTCTTGTAATTATTTATATTTATAATAAGTTTACTATTGTAATCTTTTGGAGGAAACAATAAAGCATATCTATCTATCTAATCCTACTGCAATAGAATACAAATCTTATGTTTGACCTAAGGGTATGTTTAGATGTTGTTCATGAATAACGTAAGCGGCTAACATGATTTTTCTTATACTAGCCGTTTTCCATGGACTTTTTGATCAACATATATCTATATAAAATGTTTGTATGTAAAACATCTTATTAAATTAGAATGTAGTCTACGCATGCACAAAATTTTGCATAAATTCGTTTAGAAAATATAAAAAATATTATTATTATTGTATCAATCATTAACTGTCTATTGCTGAAAATAGGTCTCCCCCATAAGAGGGTTTTACCAGTATGTGCCACTATTGGTAGGCGGCTTGGCAACCGCAGTTAGGTTAGATTTTTTTTTATACAACTTAGAATGGCAAACAAGCTGATAACCCACCTGATGGAAAGTGGTAACTGTCGCTTATAGACATGAGCAGTACCATGGACATAGGTTTTGGCAATGTTTTAAAAGGGACACTTCTACCCATCCCTCAACCATTAATTTCCTTTAGTTGCCTCTTACGACAACAATTAACCATATTATGCCGAGACCACACGACACAAACAAGTCCAATAAGGATTGATAAATACTTAAAAAAAAAAAAAAAACAATCGCAAAAAAGGAAGCGAAATCTGTTTTTAAAAGGAAACCTTTCAAATACATTAAGTCCCTTCGGAATAAATTTATTTTCAATATTATACAATGAATAAGGTAAACGAAATAAAGACAGAGCATTAATCCATCATTCCAAAAGTTCCATAAAATAGGTAAATTGTTTAAATTTTCACATACTTTAGATGGATTATTCCATGGTGAGCAATATATTTACCACTGAAATATTAAGTCACCGTACTAAAACTGTAAAATTTGGTATCAGGTGCACAAACCATAAATTATAACTCTGTTAATCAAATAGCAAGCATTGAGTAATTAAGATTGGTTACGAGATTATAAACTGTCTTATTAACAATAATTTTATCAATTTAAGACGAGTAGACGGAAGTAGGTATTTGTTTTCTAAACTAGTGGAATAATTTACTAAAACGCTTTTTTTTATACAACTTAGAATGGCAAACAAGCTGACGGCCCACCTGATGGAAAGTGGTAACCGTCGCCTACGCTTTAAATTAGGTTTTTAATATATAACATTATTTGTAGTTTGAAGATTCATTAAATTGCAAAATTTATTTAATACAAACCAAAAGATCAATTTACATAGTGTTGTTACTTGTTGTTGTATACTCTATTATGTTCGTGGTACTGCTCATGTCTATAGGCGACGGTTACCACTTTTCATCAGGTGGACCGTCAGCTTGTTTGCCATTTTAAGATACATAAAAAAATGTCTAAAGTTAATTAAAAGCTCAATTTTCCGGTATTGATGTTATGCTAGAAATTTAATCATTAGATTAATTTTTTCATGGATTATGTAAACTCGAGTTTAAACAATCTCGGTATTACGACTTTTATTAATGGAAAGAGTGTTTAATATCATATTAAATGTTTTATGCAAACAAATTTTATTAATAAAAAAATATATTCTCAGATCATGAAACAAACATATTTTTACTTCTATTTATTTTATTTACCATCTGTAAATCTAATTTACTTTGCAAAACGTTCTGGGTAGTAATTACTAAAATTATGAAAATTAATTATAATTAAATTTACAAGAGAATAATTTGAAGATAAGTGAATTAATATTATACACTGAATAACTGCGCTGTATTATTATTTCATCTATAGTAGGAAAGAAGTGAAGTACTTTGGAGGCAAGAAGAGCCGCTATTTAATAACCACGTCAAAGGACATCAGACGGTTAACACTTTCCATCAACCTGTTTGCCATCCTGAGTTACATAATATATATATATATATATATATATATATATATATATATATATAATTAACTGAATTCTAATTATAATATTTCACTCGGCAAAGTTTTGACACCACCTATCATATACATGTCTAATCATAATGTGCACATGTGTGCGTTTGACGGTCGCAATCTTTTAAATATTTTTACCCACATTTATAGTCATTTTTTAAATAGCTTCACAGCTTTAGATGTTTCCTTTTTAGTCTACTTTTAATATCTGTTACTCTTATTGTAGTCTTTTAATTCTTTGGATTTTGGAGGGCATGCGTGGGCGCACAAATATAACATTTTAAATAATAGAAAATCATAATGTAAGAAGAAATAGCTCGATAAAGCTCAAAATACTAACATATAAAAATGCAAGTGGGAGATCTTAAACCTATAATAGAACACGGTAAATATTTGTAATAAATGTAAAATATTAGTTAAATAATAATAAAATCTTGTAACATAAATATTTAAAAAAAAAAACATCATATTCGTTAAGGACGGACTAAATACCAATTATAATATTCCACCCGGTGAATATTTAACACCACCTCGCCTATATACTTTCTATGAACATAAATAACATTGTGAATATTTTAAGAATACTAAAAAGCACTCACTTTCCTCCTTCATTCCTCGAGGTTGGGGGCACTGTATGGAGTACTCGGTGCGGCCGTACTGCGCAGAGTATATCGCAACCCTCGAGTGGGGGTTACAGCTGAGGTGGAGCACGTCGTTCTCACAGCCCACTTTACTCCGGAACTCGTCTGTTTGCGTTAAAAATTACTAGTGTTATTTTTCAGCGGCCTTGCGTAATTTAGATTCGAGGTGTAAATAATTCAAACCTATATTTTTCTGTACTTATAAATGTTTCAACACTTTCAAGTTTATATCGGTTTAGTAATTATTTCGAACTTATCTGTTTACATTGAAAATATTGTTATTTTACAGAGGTGCAAATTTGCGTAATTTATGAGTAGATTCGAGGTGTAAATAATACAGATCATTTATTAATATCAAATATGAGTGTTTTATTGGTTTACCACGTTCAAATTTATAGAATTTGGTTAATTATATAAAACTCGTCTATTTTTGGTTGAAAATTACTAGTGTTATTTTTCAGAGGTGCGGGTAATTTAGATTGGAGGTGTGAAGTGTTACGATAAATGACAAATATGAATGGCTATTTATCGGTTTACCACTTTCGAGTTTACCACGGTAAATTTAGTGGTTTAGAATTCGTCTGATTACGTTAAAAATTACTTGTATTAGAAGTGCAGCCTTGCGCAATTTAGATTCGAGGTGTAAATAATTCAGATAATTTTGTAAATGTCATGTTAAATGTCAAATATGAATGGTCCTCATAGGATCACTATATTCGACTATATATTTGTTTAGTTAGTTGATTAAGATTTTATTTCATAAAAACAAACTTTTATTTCGAAATAGAAATGAGTTTAACAAAGTAGTTAGCGCCATTTGTCTAAATTAAATGATATGCAATGCATTTAAGAGCCACACAACAAACAGTCGATTGGATTCAGCAATTTTTATTATTTATACGAGATTTAACTATTTAAATCCTTACTTTTATTACATATGTGTGTTTTGAGAGCTATTATACTTATTATAATCAAGCTAATTGTTTTAAATTTCCCCCAGCTACCAACAATCTCTGCACTACTCATGAGCGCCTGGTAGACAACATCATGAGGCATTTATGTTTATATCCTTTTATGTAAATTATATCTTAAAAACCCGTGTCACGCACGATGTGTCCATTGCTTATTTTCGAAATCGCTCAACAGTTTTTAATGAAATTTTGTAAATGTCTATAATTTAATCTAAATTGAGAAACAGGATAGTCTTTATTCCGATAAGAAAAAATGAATTCGATAAGTGATGAAAGGACGCAAAACAACGTTTGATGATCAAATAGTCATCATCATCATATCAGCCGGTAACTGTCTACTGCTGAACACAGACCTTCCTTATAAGGGAGGTCAGCTGGTAATGCGTATAAAAGCCAAATAAATAAATCAAATCAATAATCATCGTATCCATGTTTACAGCAGTAAATAGTGAGAAAGCACGTAAGTACTATAAATTTGGTGAAATGTTATAAATTATCAATATTGTTACTATTAAATCAAAGAGATATAATTTCATTGTGTACATATTCGTATTTATTCTTCATTTCACAAAAATATTAATATTTTCGTTTGCATCGCATTTCGAACATCGGAGCTTTTGAATATGGTTCAGAAATTCATATTTCTTAGTCTAAGACATTGATCTATCTGAAGTTGTCTTGTGTTTTTATTTAATTTTTTTTAATAGGTGAGTTTTAGAATGCATAATGCAAAGTTAGTCTATTTAGCTATATTTATACAATGCCTAAATTAATCAAATATATGAATTTTGTAAATTAAAATCCTTAAGTTATTGTAATAAAATTGATTACTTTAAAAATATTTTACCTTTAATAACATAGACTCTTTAGTTTAGATATAAACAGATATTAGTTACGATTTTGTCATCTAAACATCTATTAAATACCTGTTTATTGTATTTTTTTTTTGTAATAGGACGGCATATGTTTAAAGGCAGATAAATGTTTTCTTCTAAATGAAAGATACTCAGATTTTATGCTTCTTTAACATCTAGTAACCCACCAAAAGGCGATTTCAAATATAACATGAAATGCAACGTATAAATAACTTTAACGTGTAGGTCATAAAAGTATTTTTGGAATGACAATACTGTGATAACATTTTTAGTTTATGTAGTCTGTAGCAATGTTTTCATGCATCTGTATGTATAATCTTACATTTATTATGAAATTATATCAGTACCAAAAGAGTAAAATAAAAATGGTATCTTTTTGTTATAAAATTAAGTATTTTCAATAAAGTTAGAAATGGGAACTCACAATTTGATTGTAGTTATTTGTATGTTACGTAATATCTTTCCTAATTATGAGCCAATTTGTATTTAATCGAAAGAGTTTAAAATTTTAAAGTCGGATTTTATTGTGAATAACTACTTTCAACCGACTTCTAAAAGAAGGAGGTTCTTAATTCGTTTGTATTTTTTTTTGTGTTTATTACCTCATAACTCCGTCAGTTTTAAAATTTGATTTGGAAAATTTACTTTATTTATATAAAATGATATATTAATAGATTGGTTTCGTAAATCAGTTCAGTAGTTTCATTTTTAGACCAAAAGTTTTATAACAATTGAATTCCTTTTTTTTTGTAAGACACAATCTTTGATCATTCAGTTTCACTTCGCGAAATGACGTCAATATCTAAACTAAGTACAAATTAGGCGATACATCATAAATAGCGACTAACCTTATAGACTGTCATAAAGGACGATCAAGACTGTTTTTTTATTAAACAAAATCTTAAAACAGTTATGTTTATTAAGTATATATATAGTTTTTGAAAGTCATAATGCATGATAGTTCGATCATCAATATTATCAGTCAAATCACTGGATAAAGAACGCCTCGTTTACAGAGTGGTTTCTTTTGTGTATTTACTTAATTGCGGTATACTCAAATAAAACTGTACTTCATCATTCCTAATTAAGGTTTCAATTACGTTGAAATAATTAAACTAATAGATCGTTTTTCTTTTTAATTTTATAAGAAAACGTGATTTATCATTCGTAACTAAATTTGTAGTTACATCGAATTAATAAAAAATTAAAGATAATTGATTTTATTTCGCATTACTACTGTCAGACGACGGCCATATTTGAGCTCTCTTTTAGTAATGAGGCGTCATCTACAGAATGGCTTTTAATGCAATTGAATCGAGATTAAATAAAGTCGCATCGAATAGACGTCAAATAAATCACTCTCTTAGCTAATGAAAAAAAGCGTTGCTTACATGGACGGCACTTGTAGGCGACTTCCACAAACCTTCTGGACCTAGGACAGGGGTCCATGCCAAAAGCTTTCGGGCTCGTGTGAAATTTGCACTGGCGTTTTTTCTGGCACGCTTCGACCACTGTCTGTAACAAGGAATACTACGCAAATTAGTTAGTATGCCAATTCTATGCTAGCTACTTTATATTTAATCTATGAAATAATAAAAAAAGAACTTTATTTAAATTATAAAAAAAAAAATAACTGTTGATGAAATCTCATATGACATGAGATTTCACCAACAGTTTTTTTTTTTTTCATTAATCATTTGACATTTAAATGTACAAAAAACATAATCAATAATTTCACAATCAATAATTTACAAAATGCATAAGTAGGTAGAAAAAAAAATTACTTTTAGTATTTACTAGCTTTTACCCGCGACGGTTACCACTTTCCATGAGGTGGACCGTCCGCTTGTTTGCCATTCTAAATTGTATAAAAAAAAACTTGAAAAAAGTGACAGAAATTAATATGATATAGTTAACTGCATTTCTTTTTTTTTCAAAACATGAAATTTTACTTAAATCCAAATGAGCACTTGAAGAAGCACCACAAACCATACAGTTGCTCGAGGAGATTACAAGGGTAACATAAACATCGACAGCTGGCCATAAAAGTTCCTTATTGCCCAAACATATCAGAAAATGAATCATAAAAGCCAACCCCAAGAGAAATGACTTGTGCTTAGCAACGAAACACGATCATGTACATTACTCTGTTAGTTTATAGTTTATCTTGTTATATTTCAACGAGTTATTTCATACCGTAGTGAATTTTATTATTTTGTATGAAGTTACTTTATGCCATTGTAAATTCCTCTACTATATTTATGTCTTATATTATACATATCGCGAGTCAAATACAGGGCGATATTTAGTCAACTAATGTGACGATTGTCCGAGTGAATTTTAAGAGAATTATTATTTTTTTATACAAAACAAATCTCTACATTTTTCCAGTTTTATAAGTTACCGGATACAAAATTACTCCGACCAGGTACATTATTTAAAATTAATTTGAAAAATGTTATTTTTCGTATACTCGTCATACTAATATATACTCTTATGTATTGCTTACAAATTAATATACGTCTATTAATTTAAATGGCGGGATATTTTAAATTATTTAAGAGCCAAGATATTTTAAGTTCAAACTCAGATGTAAATTAAAATATGCAGTAAATAAAAGTACTTGTATCATTACGAATTATTATGCTCTGTTTGTCTTATTCTTTCAAATATATTTCTAGGGGAGGGGGGAGGGATCGTTAGTAATGCGGGCTACTAGTCCCATTGCTAGCAATATACCCTGTCAGGTCGACCTCCACGCGGTTCCCCCTGGAAACCATCGTGCTGAGTTCCAAGTGTATTCATCACGATGGGGTGACTGACCTGCTATTTTCATTATTAACCTATCATCCCTCACTGGTGCCCCGCCAGCGTATACTATGCGCCAGCGTTAGCGCATGCGGAGTTATCACTCCATTCATCATTCAATAAATATATATATATATATATATATATATATATATATATATATATATAAAATAACACTAGACAGAATACTATTATCATACCTACATTTAAAAAAAGTAGTTTACAAAAATGATTATGAAAATATATTGATTAAAAAACATTGGCTCACCTGTAAAGCGCCAGGCCATGTGCAAGATGTGTCCCCAACTACTTCCACGTCGACTGGTTGGTATTGGGCTAATTCTGATGCACAAGAACTTTGGGTGACTGAAGCACTGTACTGGGCTACTTGTATATTTATTGTTGTCCCCCTGGGACAAATGAGGGTCACCATCTCCTCATCACAGGCAGCTTTTTGATGTGTTCGGAGAGTCCCGAGGAGGAGTTCTGTAGAAGAAGAGACAATCCGTTTTGTAAAATTTTGTAAATGAAATTATACTAGTTTACGACCCATGATATTGTTCCCATAAAGTGGTATCTGAATGTATGAAATTAGTTTTACTAGTTATAAATATGTATATATAGTATGTAACATATACATAGCATATGGTTTATCTATGTATATATATACTGGCAATATGACAAATGCAACTAACAAAAATGGACCCAATTGTCTGGAATAAATAAATAAAATATAATCCGACATTCTGTACAATAACTAGGTAAAGTGTATAATGTTTATATAGAATATAGTAGGATATTTATAATATTTCATACTGGGTCCAGTTCCCCAGATATTACATTTATTGCCTAGGTATTGTATAAAATACCTGAACACATATATACAGTTTGCCGGTAACAAATGTAGTAACCCTCTTATTCATAAACAATAAAACCTATTTTAACTATGACACTGTTTATTTAGCTTCTTTTAAATTAGGAATTTAGCACAAAAGAAAGGGACAAGACAGTTCAATGGGGTAAAATGTGTTTATGAAAGATTTGATGTTTTTATGAATAAGGGGGGGGTCAAAGTTTAATTGAATTGCGTGTCATTTTGAAGAAAACCATATTTTGAGGTATAAAAAATAATAATTCTAATCAACTAACCTATGTATGTACTAAATTTTAATCATATCCAGTCAGCTGTTTAAACATAAAAAAATTGAACTTTTACAATTGTAACATTAACAAGATTATTACAATATTTTATTAAAATAATAATATATGTAACAAAAACGATATAAGAGATCAGGTGTTAAAATTCGACTGAAAAGTAATTTAAACCTTTATATAATAAAATTATTAATAATCCTTTAAATGAAACACAAAATTCAACAGCGTCAGTACAATAACACCGTTTATTTTAATAAAAAGAAATAATGAAACATTAAATCTATTGAAATACCTCTGTATGGTATCATGTGCCCAATATATCAATCAGTAGGCCAATAGACAATCTGCAACCAAATTTATGATCCAAATTATTAAATAATAACCATAAATTGGAAAAGCTATTACTATAATCACATGCCCAACATCTGTCTATTGTTTATAGTCCATAATTTAATTTTAACTACAATATAAACCCATCCACTAAATCTTAGCATGTTTATGTTATAACAAACATCAGATGCGCTGAACTTCAAACCACACTTGCGCGGTAGGTAATAAAGTTGTTAGGATAAAAATATTTATAACAACTTAAGGTAATCCACAGTGTAGTGTGTATCCATAGTGTATACTTGAACAACGGGTCATTAGGGGTGTCCTCTATTTATAGTACAGAATAAGCTCGTATTTCATAGTCGACGAGAGGCGTAATAGGCCGCACGTGGCAGTCATACAGTTCTGTGGTGAATGAAAGGACCAAATCACAGGCGAGAGCGTGGGTGATCTTTTAATCGAAATTGAAATACCTACATATATACTTACTTTTATAAGACATCAAATTTAAATACTTATTTTTAATTAAAATGGTTTAGGTTTTTTTTTCAATTACTGAACTGTCTGCAGTACATTTTTTTCTGCAAGATGTGTAATTTTGATAGTTATTTAAGTAAATATTTTGCACTTGTTTATTCAAAAATGTATTTTTTAATTAATAAGGAATTTTTTTTTAATTAAAAGTAACCTATTGTGCAACTTTAATTAAATGACAGATCATTAATGTCATTTTTTGTTTTTATTACATATATATATTTTTGTTTCACTTTTAATTAATTATTTATATTTATAAAGATTTTATTAATTTTCCAGTATCTCCGATAATCCCAATAAAGAATTTATCTATGGTTTTAAGAATAAGAATAATTTTTATTAAAATTAAATACATGTATTTTTCACAGAGCTCACCGTGAAGATGGGTCTCAATTCGATTGTACTAGTTTTCATTTTCGTTACCTCCTAATTTTATCAGTTCTAAACTGACATAGAAAATTCTTTTTTTATTTACATACATATAAAAAAAATATCAAAATCGGTTCAGTAGATTAGTTTTCAAATCAAAGTAACTACTTTTATCACAATTAAAGTAATGATTTTTATGGGACATAAACTTTCATTATTAAATACTCATTCTGTTATGACTCTACTGCCAATTTTTTTATAATATATATTAGTTTACGTATATAATTGAATATTTGTATGCTGAAGATTTACATATATCTAATATTTATCTAGAATATTCGCATCTAGACGTAGACCTTCATCATCTTGTCACCAAGTTCCTAAATTAATTAAGTTATGCGATCCCAAATTCTTCTAGTCCTAAATTTTCAATGAATCTGGAATTAGGAATTTCCGGAATTAATAAATCTACGTAAGGATATTACACGATCTCTTGACGCATGTCCAACTAATAGCCAGTAAAATAGATTTTCATTTCGTCAGATACTCGTTAAGGTAATGACCTTCAACTATGGTTCATGTATCTAATGGGACAAAAACATAAATTTTCAACAGACTCCAAGAACAACCACAATTATGTTTTTTTTATACCACTATGGTGGCAAACAAGCATACGGTCCGTCTGATGGTAAACGTAGTTTATGGACGTCTGTAACGTCAGGGATGTTTCGCGCGTAAAAGCAAAAAAAATGTATTTATTATCTATAAGATGTATTATATATTATGTAGGGTAAAAGGTTTTCATAGTAATTTAACTAAAGTCTTAATTTTACATTTTAATTCTTTAGCAATGTAAAGGTTGTAAGCCTCTTAGTAATAAAGACAAATGAAGCACAAGTACACTCAGTTCATTTGTTTTTAGATACCATACTATTAAATCATATTTATTTATTTTACTTAGTATATAATAGATATATAACGAATAATATAAAAGAAATACCTAACTTCAGTTAATCCATTGACACTTATTTAACTATATCTTCTATAGAACTTTCATCAACAATAATTGTGATATATTTTATATAATAACCACGTGGTTTACTATACTTATTCACTCTTGATATGTCAGGGAGTTCTGCTCTGTTTAACAGTTGGACAAGAAGTGCCTCCCCACCCATATAACAATCTTTTATATATACAAAGCCGAATTCGAGTATACAGGTCAGCGAAACCACGTGTTCTTACAATTTCATTACTTTTTATTCAAGTATCATGATAATAAATAATTATAAAATAAATTAAATATAAATTAATGTTTTATATACACTACAAGAATAATGTATTGTAAAATTTGGTATAATAACGATTTTAACATTTTATTATTTTTAAACTAGTTACTTTGAGTTTTATTAATATGTAGGTAGGAACACATTTTGACACAAGATGTTAAAGAAAATTAATATAATAAAAAAAAAAATCTAACACGCGCATTGCCGGTTCTTAAGAAACCTTAATACGCCCTTTTTAAGACCCCATGTTTTAGTGTATGTTATACACGATGTATTGACAAATTAGCTTTTATCCGTGACTTTGTCTGCGTGACCGGGATATGTTTACTGGCCGGGATAAAAAATAGCTTATATCCTTCTCCATCCCATACACATAATATGTGTATACCAAATTTCATAGTTATTGGTGTAGCTGATAAGGCGATATAAGGATTTCAAGAAAAACCAATGATTATTTTAAAAAAAATTAAGTACTACATTCGAGAGTTGATCGATTTAAGGAGATATAAAATGATGATGACCATAAATATACTAATAATAAATCTATATGCCTTAGTAATAAAATTAATTAAGTATTAATCTCCAATTATATGATAGAATGGCCGTGTGATCCCGGCATAGAATAGGCCACCCCGTCCTTTCCCGTAGGTGTCATAAGAGGTGACTAAGGGAGGGCGAGGGATGGGTAGCAGCGTCCATCTTAAGACATCTCCAAAACTTAACTGCGGTTGCCAATCCGCTTGCCAAGCATGGCGACTACTGAAAAAACCCCCTAAAGCGAAGGCTTTCGTTCAGCAGTGGACAGTTAAAGTAAGCTAAGTAATTTAATTAATATACTTCATACAATTTATAGCCATCTTACTTGTTCCAGTACTTAGTACCAATGAAAAATATAGTTGTGTTATTAATCCAGTACTTATAGCATATTCCAGCTTTAAAATATTTTCTATATTTTACGGAATAAAGTCTTAATAGGGTTCTTGTTTTATAACATACTTTTCATTCATTCATTCGAGGGATCTTCCTTCTTGCTGATTTTAATAAACATTGTAGTGTTGTTTCAAAGCACTTCGAGTATTTTATTTATTGAATAACTGTAACTCACGAGTTACCCCAAATTAAAATAAATAGGTGTTACAATAATCCTGTGTCTTAATTTAGGACGTGTTCTATCTGTGTACGAAATTTTATGAAAATCAGTTCAGCTAATTGACTGTGATTGAGTTACAAACATCCAAACATCTCTACAAACTTTCATATTTGTAATACTAATAGTTTTTCATGACTTTAACTGCATGCATCAATAAATTTTTTTGTACATTTCTACAGTACATTTGTCATTGTATTATTATAAAATTTGTTACGTACTATTTGGGATTAAGAAAAACATTGGCTATTATTCGAGATGCCCCGATTATGTGAAAGAAGTCGCAGTTAAAAGTTATACTATAAGTACTACTGGTATCGGTATTGTACGAGTATAAAATTAGTATTATTAGTAATTACTTAGAATATCCCAAAATAGAGTCAGTATATTTTATTTAATTAAAATTTAACGATTCTCAACAAAAATGTTTAAATCTTTTATAAATTAAAATCGCTTATATCAAACGGCGTGCTTTTGTTTTATTTAATTTAATAAAACCATAATTTTAATTAAATTTATTTTAAATATACCTAAATCATTTAAAATTTAAATAAAATTATTTTGAGTTAAAAATAAATTAATACCACTTGTACCAAACGGTGAGCATCTGTTTCGGTGCGGTTAACATGCATCCCGTTTAAGGGGTGGCACTCACGGCATAA